GCTACCTTTAAAGTATATTACCAACATTAATGGGTGAAAACAGTTGGGGAGTAGCCAAGGATAATAAGAAGAAAGGCTGCAGATGGAATTGCTTTAAAGCTCAATGTATTCTATTCCCATTCTTGTTCTCATATGATTTGACGTTGTTGGGGCACTAAGGTGACAATGATTATAATGCAAACTTTTTGAAACCTGGCATTCATCTTCCCTAGTCATCTTTAGAGATTTTTTTTATTCTACTTTTGGCCACCATTTCCAGAGGATTCACCTAACAAAATCTAAAATAAAGAAGCATTTGGGGATGTAAGAATTAACTAAAAAAAGAGCATGAATAGTGTTCTTTATTAGGTTGAAAAGTTTGATACTCATTAGAAGTATCAAAATAGAAACTGATGCATACTAAAGTAGCACAAGGAGCTTTACTATAAGTGAATGGTCCATTTGAAAAATATCGAGTCAATTTTCAAACTGATTGCAAAGTAGCTCTCTTTAGAAGTTGCATTTGAGGAGGCATTCTGAAAGTTTGATTTCCATTCTCATGTTGGAATGTGATTCAATTCTTGTGTTGCTGAGCTTGTAAACCTATTTTAAATGCCAACATGGTGATGCATTTGCTGTGAAATGAAATGGTAAGCCTGTTCAAATTGCTGTAATGCGGGGCCAGTGATGCAGAGTTTGTCATACCCTTCAAAAAGTATTTTAAATGGATCACAAATCCAGTGTGCACTGGAACAAGATTCAAAATGAAATTTGAAATGGATGATTTGCCAGAGAGAAGGTCTTCTTTAATTAATTGCAGATAATGACTAAAATCAATTTCTTTCTTTGTTTCTTTCCCCTTTACCTGTTAATGGTTTTATTTTGAGAATATAATGTAGTACTCCTTTCATGCAGGTGTAGTGGTGTAGTAACGGGAATAGGGGACTCAGATCCTTACAGATGGCCCAACTCAAAGTGGAGATGCGTAATGGTGAGCTCCTAATGTTAGCTTGTGTACTCGTGCTTTTATTTGTATAGTTTATCATGTGTAGTCTTTATCACAAATATTAGAAATGTGTATCCATATGGTCTTTATGAAAATACTTTACATGTGTACATGTATACTTTATGCAGAACACCAACGAACTTTGATAAACTATTTGTTAGAATGGCAAATAATTGATGAAACAAACAACTAGGAAGGTGTCCATATATTCCAATTGTTTGATAAAAATCCATTAGTACCTTCATACTGAGTTTTGTAGCTGTCATTGCCAAAACTCTTTTGTGTATCTAAGTTGGCTCATATTAGGGTTGATTCCAGGTTTTTTTTTTTTTAAATGAACTTATTATCAGACATTGAAGTTTTCACTTTATATGTATACAAATGCACATGTATTTTTCTCCTATGCGTTCTTTGTGTTAATACATTGAAGAAGAAAAACTCAAAGCCATACATATGCACATCACATTTAACAGGTTAGGTGGGATGAAGATATTGCGAATGATTACCCAGAAAGAGTTTCACGTTGGGAAATTGATCCTTCTGTTTCTTTCCCACCATTGAGTATTCAATCTTCACCAAGGTTGAAGAAACTGCAGACAGGTCTGCAGGCTGCTGCACCCGACACCCCCGTCACAGGTACAAACCTTTCCACTAGGATTGTAATATTGTTGTATTTATATACTTGGTTAATGTAAGCATCCTTTAAAATGTTTTTTTCTTCAGGAGGGGGTGGATTTTTGGACTTTGAGGAATCAGTGAGATCCTCTAAGGTCTTGCAAGGTCAAGAAAATGTAGGTTTCATATCACCCTTATATGGGTGTGATACTGTAAAGCGCCAATTAGATTTTGAGATGCAATCTCCGGCACATCAAAGTCGTACATCAACAGGAATTGGAAAGACCAATATTAGTGACTTTATGATGGCTTGCTCCACTGCTTTCACAATCTTTGAAGAATCTAATAAGTTTCCGAAGGTCTTGCAGGGTCAAGAAATTTGTCCATTGAGATCCCTGACACAGAAGGCTGATCTCAACCTTGGTGTTTGGGCTAAAACCAATCTTGGTTGCAATTCTTTCAACATGCATCAACCACCCAAAACCAACTGCTATCCACTAGCATCAGAAGGCCTTCGAAATAGGTATTTTCCTTATAGTGACTTCTACAAAGCTGGCCAAGAACCTACAATGAGTTCTTATGGATCTACACTTCCAAGAGGCAATGTCCTGCACAATGCTTCCTCAATTAAGGCGGGGGTTACCGTGGACGGGGTCAGAAAACCAAATCCACTGAATGGCCATAAGCCATTGGAGAATATTTCGAGTCCTGTTTTTGGAAAAAATTTGAGGAACCAACCAACATGATGAATGCTTCAAAGGAAATGTGGCTGGATATAAACTCTTTGGGTTCTCCTTCACTGCTGAATCACCTACTCCTAGCTCAAAATTCTGGTAAGAGGAGTTGTGCAAAGGTAAGTTACCTTAGGGTTGAAGTTAAACTTTACTTCTTACTCCCCTCCTACTGACTTCGACTTGATCGACTGAAGGTTCACAGGCAAGGCAGCTTGGTTGGAAGAGCCATTGATCTCTCAAGACTTTATGGATATGATGACTTGATGACTGAGCTAGAATGTCTATTCGGTATGGAAGGCCTTTTAAGCAATCCTGATAAAGGATGGTGGGTTTTGTATACTGACAGTGAGAATGATGTAATGGTGGTTGGAGATGATCCATGGCAGTAAGTGTCACTCTCCTTGCTATCCACTATCCAGTTTGTTGCATGCTAGTCAAAGCGCACGTCTGATGTCTTTGTGGCAATGTGCATTAAATTAAATAGTAATTGCAGATGTGAGATATTTTTGCTACACTTTTCTCCCTTTTTCTATTCTTTTGAGCATTGCATCCTTTCTTTCAGCTTTGCACAATTAATATGCATGTTACTGATGCCACAATGTTTTCTTATAGCCAAATTAAACTAGTCCTTGGGGTCAACAAATCTAGCAGGCAGGGTGAATGCTACGCCAAGGGGCATGGATGAAATTAAATGAGAGTTTGGCATTTTCCTTGGGTGCTCTTATCTCGAACCCCCCTATCCCATGGGGCGGTAGCAGTAGAGATGCCAAGGGGAGTGTTTGGTGAAGCTCATTCCCCCTATTCACTTGTTCAGTGAGAAGAAGAAAAAGCAATGTCTTTAGAATCAGAAATGAGGACTCATGAATAATGTGTATTGGTAGAACACATGCTTGAGCAAGCAGTAAAACAAGGAAACAAGAAAAAGACGCTTAGAAACTAATAACAATATATATTTAGCATTCACGGCGGTCACCTGGCCCTGTTCAGGAGGGAAACGATGCTCAAACCTTATTTATAAAGTTTCAAAATGCTTATTGCTATTTGTTGATGTGTGTAAAATATCCTTGCCTATGATGGGTTTTTTTTTTTCTTCTTCTCTGTTTGCAGTGAATTTTGTGATGTGGTGTCCAAAATCCAAATATACACCCAAGAAGAAGTGGAGAAGATGATCATAAAAATGGCCAGTGATGACACACAAAGCTGTTTGGAACAAGCACCGGTGATAATGGAAGCATCAAAGTCTTCCTCAGTAGGCCAGCCAGATTCGTCTCCAACACTAATAAGGGTATGAGGATCGGTGTTTGTTTTTTAGTATTGTCTTGTGTTTGCTATGTGTGCACAACTCATTGAATCCTGAAGCCATCCACCAAGTATTTTCTTTGTCAAATGAACATATTGAAAGCTAAAAGTGGCCATTCTGGCCTTATGGTATTGAACAATTGAAGTTGTTTGAAGTGATTCAAGTCTGGTGCTTTGTATTCATCAACAATGTGTGGCACCAAAATTGACTCATGCATTGTCTCATATCAGGTCATTTCAAAGCCAGAAATCTGGAAATGATCCACTTGAACTTCAAGTTGATGTGCGTTGAATTCTGAAAACCCTCAAAACATAGGTTCTTCCTTTTCTGATTGACTACAAGAGCATTTCCAAGCTAAAACTTCTTTTTTGAAATCTTAGAAAGTATCCTCAACATTGTATAGCCCTCCTGCAAAGCCGAATACCAACACAAATGATTCCACAAACATGAATAACATAATTTAGATTGCAAATTAGAGACTACACTATACGATCTCCATGTATGATGAATCAAACTCGGATTGACAGTTTCAGAAAGAGCAAGATGTGAAGGAGGCCCATGTTGAGTGGCTCTTTCTACTGCACAAACTATTAACTCCAGTAGAGACAGGCCTGAAATTTTGCATCCAGAAAATGAGTTTCAAGTGTGCCATACTGCTATATATGAGAACATAAATCTATCTAATTTGAATTCCATGATCTATCATCAAAATTATTTAAGATAACAAAAATTGAACATCAAAAGAAAAAGAAAAAAATGTGTTGCAAATAAATAGATAAAACATTGAATTGTTAGTAAAACAAACATATTACACAAAAGGAGATTTTTTGAGTCCTTTAAAAGGGAAAACACAAAACATAAGGTCGCAACAATTTTTTTTTTCATTTCTTCCTACCATGAATGGGAATGAAACTTGGAGAAAATATTTGAATTTCTAAAGGAAATATTAAATTTGTATAACTGCCAACAGCCCGTCTAGCTCAGTCGGTAGAGCGCAAGGCTCTTAACCTTGTGGTCGTGGGTTCGAGCCCCACGGTGGGCGCAGTTATCCTTTGTCCATTTTTTTAGCGAAATACCATTTTTTAAAAATTATTATTGAAGGTAAACGAGCTGAAAAATTCAAGTTCTAAGTAACTAAGTCTCAAGTACAAGCATTGGCACTCTTCGTTCTGGTTTTGATTCACTTCAGTTCTCAATTTTCAAGTTTTCTGGAAAACCCCAGGTGGTTCTTTACTCTCTCGCTCTCTCTCTCTCTCTCTCTCTCTCTTAAAAAAAGAGCTTGTCTTTTGTTTGACCTTTTGATATGTATTTTTTGGTCTCCATTTTCTAAGTGTAATCTGTTCTTATAAAAAAATTGGGGTTTTCTCCCGTTAATTTGATCTTTACCTTATTCTATCAAATGGGTTGTCTCAAATGCCATTTTTAGTAAAAATCCGCATACCCTTTTTTTTTCTAGAAAAAATAAGTTAAGTCATTTCCTCAAACAGTTGCATTGCATTCTCATAAAGCTGGAAATTTCCTTTTGGTTGCTTTTGGAAGCAAAAATGAAAAAAAAAAAAAAAGAAATAGTGCCCTTGGATATATACAGCAAAAAGAAGTAAATAATATCCTTGAAGAATTAAAAATTTAAAATGTAATTTTTTTTTTTAATGACCAAAGATATGGCTTTTATTTTTTATGCAGAACAATTCTGTTAAAAAATTGGTGTTCGAGTTTTAGTTCAGTAAATTTATTTATTTATTTATTTCTCCGATTTTAGCTTAAGATTTTTTTGTAAATTTTTGTGATTTTTAGGACATTGGAGACAGGTAGAACCTGATCAAGTTGTAAGAAGCATTTACGTTGTTGGTTTAAAGGAGAATGAATAATGGAGGGGGAAAACGGATCAATGGCGGAACAGAAGAGGATGATGATGAAGACGATGTGAATGGGGATCTTGATGCGTGGGAGAGAACTTATACCGATGAGAGGTCGTGGGAATCTTTGCAAGAGGACGAGTCAGGGCTGCTTCGCCCCATTGACAACAAGGCCCTTTATCATTCTCAGTACCGTAGGCGACTTCGTTCCCTTTCTTCAATTGCCACTGCTGCTCGGATACAAAAGGGCCTCATTCGTTATCTCTATGTTGTTATTGATCTTTCCAGGGTATCAATTTTCACCCCTATTATCACTGTAGTTTAAGATTTTGCTTGCATGTTGACTAAATATATTCTTATTTGGATAAGTAGATGGAATTTTGTTCTAAGTAGCAAATTTTGAAGCATAACAATCAAGTTTGATAAGCCATCTTTTCTAGCTTTGATTTGGTTGCTTCTTGCAATTGAGTTCGGTAATCATTTATTTTGAGTAATAATCTGTGTTTTAAGAGATGCCATGTCACGCAAATCTACGAGATTATTACTCTATATTTCAATCAACAGCTTGCATTTAGCGGAGGCTTAAACTCCTATTAGTAATAACCTGTGGTTTTAACTGATGAGATGTTGTTGAAATCTACGAGATTATTACTCTATTTCAATCAAAAGCTTGTACTTAGTGTGCGCTTAAAGTCCCATTTCTCGGGCGCTGCTCTTTTTTCACGTAGGAGAGCAAAAAAGCTATGAAATTTTATGGAATTTTGCATTGAAGTTTCTCTTGGATATACCACTTGCACGTGTTAAGCAATTTGCCAGTTTGACATCCTAAAGCAATGTAAGGTTCTTCACTGGTAAAACAATCTACTAACTGCATCATATCTCTTCATAAATATCTTATTTGGTAGAATTCGATCTATTTCTTGGCTTGATTGTTCTTCCTGGCTATTAACTGAACACAGTGGATGTATTGTACCTCCAGGAAACTATGTTGCAAGTTCTTGAGAGAACTAGAACCCTTGAATCGAACTTATGATACCAGTTAAGGACCCAATTTTTATTATAGGCATAAAGTAAGCTATGCTGAAACATGCTTGTTTTGAATTCGTTTTTCTGTTTTTTTTTCCTTTTAGTTGGGAAGGGAGGAGTTGTATATAGGCCTTCACATTTAAGGACTGAGGACAATTACCATCAGTTTGTCTCCTGAAAATTGGTTATCTGATTCAATCATCAAGAGGTTAAAAATAATTAAATTTCCTTGATTCTTTACATGAACAATAAACTGATTGTCTTTTGTTTTGCTGTATTTAGGCAGCTTCAGAGATGGATTTTCGACCAAGTCGAATTGCTGTCATTGCAAAACATGTTGAAGCTTTCATCAGGGAGTTTTTTGACCAGAATCCTCTTAGTCAAGTTGGCCTTGTGACTATAAAAGATGGGGTTGCTTACTGCTTAACAGATCTCGGTGGTAGTCCTGAGTCTCATATCAAAGCTTTGATGAATAAGTTGGAATGTTCGGGTGATTCCTCCTTACAGAATGCATTGGATCTCATAGATGGGTATCTGAATCAAATTCCATCATATGGTCATCGTGAAGTTCTTATATTATATTCTGCTCTCAGTACCTGTGATCCTGGAGATATAATGGAGACCATTCAGAAATGCAAGAAATCTAAAATAAGATGTTCAGTTATTGGCCTTGCTGCAGAAATGTTTATATGCAAACATCTTTGCCAGGAAACTGGGGGAATATACACTGTTGCATTGGATGAGGTAAGAGCAACAAGAGGCATTGATTGACCATATTGAACTGGTTTGATGTAACATCATCAATTTGGTTAACTTAAAAGGGAAGTTAAATTCTGCTTTCATTAGGATCCGAGGAAACTGTCTTAGAAAAGTCAAGTGAAATTTCATTGACCAGTTATGGGTCTCTAACTCTCTATATCTTCTACAATGTTCTACGTTGCAAGTTGTTCATGAAAATTTCTTTTTCCTTTGCTTTTTGTTGTTATTTATTTACCTTTCGAAGGTGGGAACCAGAGTTGTTGGTTCTTTTTATATGTTTTCAGTTGATCTTATAATAAATTCTCATATTGAAAGATGAAGTGGGGAAATGTAAAACCTTTCTGTGTGTTTTTCTTGTGCAGTCCCACTTTAAAGAGCTAATATTGGAGCATGCACCCCCACCACCGGCCATAGCAGAATTTGCAATTGCTAATTTGATCAAGATGGGATTCCCACAAAGAGCAGCTGAGGGTTCTATGTCGATTTGTTCATGTCATAAAGAAGCCAAGGTAGGTGCAGGTTACACTTGTCCAAGATGTAAAGCCCGTGTATGTGAGCTTCCTACAGAATGTTGTATCTGCGGATTGACACTCGTGTCTTCACCCCATTTGGCTAGATCATATCATCATCTCTTTCCCATAGCCCCTTTTGATGAGGTGCCTCCATCTCATTTAAATGATCCAAACAACAAACTGCAAAGAAATTGTTTTGGGTGCCAACAAAGCCTCCTCAATCCAGGTAAGTGGTGATAAGAAACGAGTACATAATGGTTTTACATCAATGCTACTAATATTGAAATTGCATGTAATCATATCTACATATAGGTTAATAAACTGACATGCCATGATTGTTCATATAACTAGCCTAAGACTCTCTGAGGGAAAAAAGTAGGAGAAAAGTGCTATGCTATTTCCTGGGCTACTAAGAAAGAAAATATGTTATTTCTTGAACCTCTGCCTTTAATAAATAAATAAAAACACATTTAGAAATGTAATGATCACTTGACCAACTTACTTGCCATGCTAGTGGCTGATATATTTATTCATATATATCATTGCTCTTTTAAAGGGGGCATTGTTTAGAGAACTTTAAGATTCTTTGATGCACGGTTGCCCTTTTAAGTTTTAGGTTTTGCAAAGATATGCCAGGATGTTCTTCTAGACAAATAATTGATATTTTTGACTCTTTATTCTTTGCTTAATCATATTGTTGTTTGACCTTGTAATCTGATGTCATTGTTCTCATCTTCCTATGCCTATTGTCTTACATAATTTTAATAGAGAATCCTCCTTCCTGATGCTTGCTGATTTTGACTCAGGAAACAAACCTGGCCTTTTCGTTGTGTGCCCAAATTGCAAACGGCGCTTCTGTCTCGACTGTGACATTTACATTCACGAGAGTTTGCACAATTGCCCAGGTTGTGAAAGCTTCAGGCATTCCAAGCCTGTCATCTCAAATGAAGAATGAGAATTATTATTGCTGTGGAAATTCATACTACGTAGCTCCCATAACATATGCTACCGTCCCTTTATAACATTTTGAGATGGCACTCTTTTGACTATTTGAGAAATTTTAATGTTGGGACCGTAAATTATAAGTCACCTCTTTGCTTCCATGGACTCGTTTGGTGAAATTCAATGTTTCCCTACTTTCGAGTGAATGTGAATTTTGCTTTTCCTCTCTAGGTGATAGTGTCCCGCAATCCATTTTATGATTCATAATTAAAGAAAATATAGAAAGAAAAATCCCAATTTATAATATTTAACAAGTCCGAAATTTAAATCCCAAAATTTTGCAAAGTTTTCTATTCTCAAGACTGCCTCATCCATTCAAAATGCTTGATAGAAATGGTCAGGACGTCTGTTTGGCAAATAATCAATTCGATAAAAATAGCGTTTCTGTATAAATAGCAGAATTTGAGTGAATTTACAGGCTATATGATCTCAACATCTTAAAACAAGAGGCAAAATGGTGGATCCTTTGTGTTACTTTCAGGGGAGTTTCTCCCACTGCATCCAAGGGTTTTGAACCAATGGAACAACTCCAATTTTCAGACTAAATCACTGACTGTACAATTTAATCCTAACTGCTGATCTGTGTTGGTGAAACTGCTTGTAACAACCCAGTTACAACGCATAGAATTAGAGGCAGAGCTTCATTGAATGTGCAGACAACACTTAAGAGGTATAAAGGCCTCGAGCTCACTATTTACCCAAAAATAAAAAATTATGCAGTGGCCAGCTCAATACCGTAGTACCGCTCCCTTGCAGCCATTTTTTTTCCTTCAGCTGCCCTTTTCTTTCGAAAATTATCATTTCATGTGACTGAAATACCAGTCAACTTTCTTCATGAGTAATCACCAAATTTCTCCATTAGATGCCCTTGTATTTCACGAAAAATTCATAGAGGGCCAATAACTTTAGGCAAAAAAGTTGAATCACTCAGAGTCTGAGTCAATAGAAAAATATAACCTTGGTCTTTTTACAGAACGTTTTTGCCGAGGAAATAAGAATGGGCTCTCTGATCTTTGCCTACTTGACTTCTCAGGTCGACTGTCGTTCATACCAAGCAGCAGAGAAGCTGCAGAAGAAGGAACAATCAATGCTAGAAATTTAATAGAAAAAATTTACTGATGGAGCTAAGAAATGCTAATGCAGTGAATTATGAATCCTGGAACTGATAAGCCAGATGTAGTACAACAAACTCCTCATCAGTACCATCTTGAAAATTAATCATCATGATCTCTACTAATTATTTTTATACTATAAAAGTGGTTTCAGTGTGTAAGGACAAAAACATTACAACTATTTCTATTTTAGTTCTATCTTGATTAAACTTATTGCTATATTAATGTTTAAGTTGTTGGAGTGTTTCCTAATTTCACGTATATAGGCATTCTTAAGCAAAGTGCAACTTTAGTAGGGATAAGACTACTTGTTTTTAACCTTCATTTAGTTTATAAATATATCATATATCTATTATATATTAATACTTTGATCCTATGCTACATGTACCCTTAATTTTCTACCTGACAATATAAAACTTATTAATTAACTCAATGTATTCCCATTTAAAAAGAATGCCTTCATTTTTATTGAATTCAAGAACAAATTATTAATTGCACTTCAATTAATAAGAATGAAAAAGTTATATTCGAATCCAAATATAAATAAATTCTAATTTAAACTAGAATTAATAATACTCACTTGCAACAAAATTCATGTATAAATTGCACCTAGGGGGAAACCGAGTCTGAGAAAGTGCGTAGCTAAGAGGATTGGCAATTGAATAGCTTAACCAACATTAGAACATATCCATTACTAATCAAATTCAATTATATATACCAGCACTGTCCAAGAATCACACATGCTTGCATGTAACCAATTTGAAGCCTTTTCTATTTGCTGGCCGTGATGGCAAATTTTAAACGTAAGCTACAACAATATAGCTCTGCAAAAGAACAATGAAACTAACCGGTGTCAGCCAAAGAATCCATAGCTCCCTCTCTCGAAGGTATCTGCTGTCTTGAATTCAATCCATTCACAGTTGTTGAGTCCCCATGACCACTACTTGCACCACCTCCAAGCCTAAGTGAGATCCAATCATCGGTACGGATGCCATTTGATACATCAGCTTGATCTCTCAAATCAGAATGTGCTGATGCACCTGAAGGACATGTTGGAAGAAATATCTGAAGCGAGGGATCTTCTCCACTAAACAAGGTATTGTCAACCAAGCCATCATTTATACCCATATCAATCTGACCAATGGAAGAACCGGGGACTAGAGTTGCAGATCCCATTGTTGTCTCAGGAGCCAATGCATAGCCATTCATTGATGAAGGGCAATTGAGGGAATTACGCTGCAGTTCAACTAAGGCATCTGAGACATCCGTATCTGGACTAAATAGTTGAAACCCTAAGCCTTCTTGGGTTCCCAGAGGTAATTGCCATAGAGACATGTCAATTTCATCATGGGGAGTAAAAGGACCTAAATTACCAGCAGGCTCAAGAGATGGATCTTCTGAATATGGATGAGAAATTCCAGGAGGAGCAACTGGAAAATTAAGTCCACCAGCATCATTTTGATTATCCTTATAGGAAGTTACAGAAGATATTAATATTTCATTCTCTTCATCTGAATCACTAAGAACAATAACTTCTGCATTTCCTACTGGTGTAGATGGATTTCTGTCAGTAAATTCATATGTCAAATCTATGTTCAGAGGCATGGAATCAAGTTCAATCCCATTGCTTCTAAAGTCATAAGTTCCACCACCATCCTGATTTACACTGGCATCTTCACCATCCTTACCACTTCCAGTGGCACTGCCGCTCATTGGAATAAGTTTTTGCTCATGATATTCAAACCTTTCTTGTAATCTACTACCAGAAGAGGTGTTCATATCTTCAGGCTTGCTAACATCCCAGAACCCATTGGGATTCTTCCTGATTCCATGTTTCAAACCTGTATGTCCTGAAGTACCTTCAAGTTTAATCTGAGGCTTAACCTCCACACTGCCAGATCCACAGAGGGTACCATCAGGAGAATGCCAATTTGCAAGATCACCAAGTTCTCTACGCTCATTTTCACTTTTAGCCTTTGCACGCCAAGAACCATCAGGCTTGACCTCAATCTCTGTAATATCTTCTCCACAATGTCTCATCTGTACGACAGTTAATCATCATTATCACACATTGATATCATATAGATAAACGCAGGATAACCAGAGAGTACCCACCTTGGATGTGATGCGATTAAAATAAGGATCAATTATAACATTCTCCAATGTGTAGTTCTTCAGGCAAATTGGGCACTGCCACTGCAATCACATACTAATGCTTGTCAAAAGCCTCAAAGAATTACAAATGAAAACAACCATGTTATTATAGTTGCTTGCCTTCCTAGAACGTTGGTTAAGCTCTACAAAAACTTCAAGATCGAAACAACCCATGTGAAAACAGGGTTTAAACCTTCCAGCCACCTTCATTCTTGAACCACTCATCTGTCACAGTTAAACACACATAAAAATGAATGACACAAATAACTAAAGCAACTTCAAAAGAAGGAAGCAGTAAAGAAATAGTTCATTCAAATCCCATCAGCACTGAACATTGGTAGAAGAAAAAGGAGAGTTAGGAGAATCATCCCCTCTTACCTAACTTAAGAGGCATTCGGCTTAGAATAAATTGGTTATTTTAAAGATAGTTATAGATAAATACAATGTACTAAATATGAAGGTCATAGGATAAGCATAAAAATAAATGAAACCAAATGGTGATATGCTAAAGTTAAGTTCTTCATGGAACAAAGCACAAGCATATGACCACACATATTTTCCATGTAGACTAATCAATCTATCATAGAGGTCACACCATCAACTTTGCCAACATCAACCTATTATAGTATTGGCTCCAACAGTAGAAAGGAAACCTAAATGAGCATAAGCACCACAATATAGGATGCATTTTTTTAACATTAAGAACACCTTTATGACGATGCACAATAGCCTTAGCCAACATTAATACTAAAACCCAAACACACATGAAAACATTAAATGTCTCCCCTATTGACATTTTCTAGTAACTAATGCTGATAGGTAAATGATGCTTCAAGCATTTAATCCATAAATTTAGCAAGGCGCAACAACCATGCCTTCTAGGCACATTGACAAGATAAACTAATTAAATACTTTAAAATGATGCCCAATCAATTAAGCATGTAATATTCATGCCATAAAAATGGTGTACAGCTGCACATATACGGGCAAGAGATTGCTAGCATTTTACAAAGCTATATAACTCACAGGGCAGCATAGGTTGACTCCAAAAACATCTGCAACAACTTCTAGGTCACTGTCACTATCACCATTGTCCGTTGCAGTTCCACCACCAACACAACGACAAACACGAGAAAGGGCATCTTCCAAACGTTCACCATCAGTCTCTTTGGGAATCATATTGAGTATCTAGGCCAGGCCACAAGAATATAAAATGAACATAAAGAACGACAAAAATAGAGATATACCAAGGTAAGCTTCAATTGCATACACATGCAGGGATTTGTTGTTTAAATTATAGTACTAAAATAACTAATAAGCTGAAAAAAAGATACTTATTACTGTTAGTAATTCAACAATATCTTAAGTTAAAATTCAATATTATTGGTTTTGGGTCTTGAAAAAAAAAAAATCAGAAAAGCAAGCCAACCTCATTGCCAGCCCAAAACATTTAAATAAATTCAGGTCATATCCTCATTTCTTCTTCCATTCTCAGCTATTGAAATGGGCCCAGATTATGCAAACCAACAGGCAACAGCACATAAAAAAAAAAAAAAATGAGCCAAAATGAAACAAAGAAAGAAAAAGAAAATAAGTTGGCCATGTTAATAATCTAAGGGAGCCCTTCACATGACAAAGTTTAAAACCAAATCATTGTGAAAGCCCAAAGTCTAATCTCACATATTTCACCCTTATCTCTTCTTCATTTCTAGATATTTCCTTTATTATATTCTCTCCATATTTTTTACAGCTCCAGCCTCTTCCATCAGTCAATCTTCATGATCACAACTTTCCCATGATAAAGCATCATTTCCTCTTTGCTTCATTCTTTTTCTTGCAATTTCCTTAATTGATGATAAATTGTTCTTTTTCATTGCGTTGTATCAATATTTTTAAAGCAACTGAAGAAGGAAAAAGGGAGAGAAAGGGGAAAAACAAGCTTTGTTCAGCACACCATTTAATCCATTTAGTGGCATTCTCACTGTTCTTATCTGACTTCGATCCTATACCCATGTCACAGGCAACTCAGCAAAAATGCCAGTAAGTAATAGATAAGTGGTCAAATGTCTAATATGTGGTGATTTTTGCAAGAAACATGAAACAAAAATAGAAATGCAGTGATATAAAAATAACACGGCCAAAGATGATGGCTCTAAATATATTTGTGTTCTATTCTGCTTTGTTATCAAACTGATAATGCTACCAAAATCAATCAAAGAACTACAGGCATTGGATAGAAATGTTATATGCAGAGATCTTTACTTTGCAAAAAAGGAGCATATATCGTTTTAGACTTCAAGCCTCATCAGACAGCAATGCAATCAATCTATTGATTCCAGTGCATAAACAATCCGGGTCAGTCTCAACATATAAATTTGAAGTTGTTAACATACCTGTTGAACAGTTCGCCGTTTAACAATTCTAACTCCAAAACAGAATACACGAGCATCGCATCCAGTCAAAGTTATCTTATTAATTCCATCATTAGTACATGGAGTTATCTGATAAAAGAATAGACAATAAAACACATGTTTAGGGTATGGACGTTATTTAAATAGGTAACAAAATATTAATAGGAATATAAAGCACATATCTGGCTTCCCCATCCATTCCAATCACATGCACACACATGTAAAGGTAAATTCTATGGAGAATATTATTATGTATACACTGAGAAAAAAATTAATCTCTTTTATAGAAGGACAAAACTCACAATTGGACCATCATCACGCCCATTAGCCCCCAGCAATTGCTGACCAGGTCTATTAATAGCACGAACAGAAACACCTGTTTAAAAAACTGTCAGTTGTCTAACCAAAAAATGATTACTGACCAAAATTGAAATGGAAAAGTACATAGAAAACATTCAATGTCAATACAAAGAACAACAATATTGCAATTAGAAAAAATAAAAGGAAAACACGTTAAGCATGCTACTTTTTTTTTCTTTTGGCTAGATCCAAGCATGATTCTCAATGACAACAAAATTGATAAAAAGCAGTTAAGTAATTAAGCTGTAAAAGGGGCTGTTAACTGTTAAGTAGTCAAAGCAAAACATTAATAACCATACCATTGACATGCAAATCTGCAAATTGAGGCCACTGCATCCTGAATGGAACTTTGTCATTCAGAAGCATGCACCATGCCTATTTAACAAGACAAAAAATATCACGATAGATGACCAAAAACAATATCATCAAAGTGTACCACACTCTTCTACACTAGCCAACCTGGACATCATACTCTTGTTTTGTCAGCAAGTCCCTGTCTGCTCTGGTGATTTGGAATGTTTTCTCCACACTTTGCATTGGATTTGTACTATAAAATATGGATCTGAATTACTAAACTAACAAACTAATACAAGCAAAGTTGCAAAGCATCACAAATAATGTATAAACACAATGATATTCAAATCTAAATGTTCTGGAAGTTTATGGGGGGAAAGAAAGAGATTTACTATTTCTCATATAGTGCACTCACCCATCAGTTGGGATATTTGCAACAGCCAACTTCACTGGATATAAAGGATGTGCAATAGTAAGCCAAAAGCTGCATGAGCAACCATATCATGAATTAAAAGAATATAACATGAATTTTCCAATTATAATCAAGACCTAACAGATTGAACAAAATTTGATAACCCATTAATGGTATGTCCGGCAAAAGATACTCTAGATCATTCAGATGGATACTAAATGCATACAAGTATATAAAGTGCAATTCAAATACTTGATGAAACAATTACTGTAGAAAACAAATAAATAGTGGAGTGAGCATTAAAGTACTAGATAAATAGTATGTTTCTACTGTAGTAGAGATAATTTAGTATTACCTTTGTGAACATCCTATGGTTAAAAGTAACAGTATTTTTATTTTAAAAGAATTCCTTATAGGAAAGGATCATATGCTCTTTTATATACCTCTCATCACAATTCCTAATCTATGTTATTAATATATGAAGCCACTGACTAAAATGGTATCATTGAGATACTAGATACAAAGTAAGTTAAAAAGTCATTACAACATAATAAATAATAAAAAAAGAAAAATAAAGCGTTAATAGCCCTTGTAATCCCTAAATTTTGACCAAAATTTTATTCTAATCCCTAAATTGTAAAAAATTCTAATCGGATCTCTAATTACTCAAGGTTGTTCTATATTGGTCCTTCTGTTTATGGAACCGTTTAAATTGACAGCAAATGCATGATGGCACCACATGATGATGTTAACTAGCATCTCACATGGCAATTGAGGAACCAAAATAGAATTCTCAAAAATTAGGAACTAAAGATGAAACTATCTCAAAACTTTTACAAATTTCATATATATTTTATAAAATATTAAATTTAAAATTATAAAAATTCAACATTATTTAAAAATAAAAAATTATATTCTATCAAAAATATTATTTGTCAAATCATAATATAAATATTATTTTCTATCCATAAAATATATACTTTAAAATTTTAAATATCTTTATTTTCTTTTTTCAAACATATTTTATAAAAAATAAATAAAGAAAAAGATAGAAATGATTCAAAAAAATATTGATTTTTATATATTTCAAATATATTTATAAAATATTATAATTTAAAATATTATTTAATTTTTATTATAATATGATTTATTACTAAAATAATATTTTTAATAGAAAATATATTTTTAAAAAATTAAAATTAAGTTGAAATTTTCAAAATAATTTTGTTAAAATTTCATATCATTTTAAAAAATTAAGTAAAAAAATTATATCGGTTTAAGAAATTAAATAAAAACTCTATATCGTATTAAAATATTATGTAAAAATTATCAAATCATTTCCAAAAATAGATTTATTAATCCATTCAAAAATATAAAAATTTTTATTCATATAAAATAAAAATATAATTTAAAATATTTTTTCTTTTTTCTTTTTTATAAAACATATTTTATAAAATATATTTAGAAAAAAAATAAAAGATATTTAATATTTTAAAAATAAATCTTTGGGATAGAAAACAATATATTTTATTATGACTTATGTGTAAAATAATATTTTTAATAAATTCTCTTTGCTTTTAAAATGTATTAAATTTTAAAAAAGGAAATTTGAAAATTTTAACTTAATTTTAAGCTTTGAATATCCATTTTCTATATAAGACAAAATTCTCTTTAGTAGGTTATATTCTAATAAAAAAATTGCAAATATAAATATAAATTTACTATTTTAATAATACATGCATGAAATATGTAAACTTTTGAGATAGTTTTGTTTTTTATCTCTAAACTTTGAGAGAGTTCTATTTGATCTATCACGTGAAAGGCTAGCTGATATGATCACGTGATGCCAATTGGCATTTGTCATCAATTTAGACAGTTCCCTAGATGAAAGGACAAAAATAGGACAATTTTGGACAATTAGGGATTTAATTATATTTTTAAAGTTTAGGGATTAAAGTAGAATTCGGGTCAAAGTTTAGGAACAACGGATGCTATTAACCCAAAAAGAAAATACCCCTCATTTTTTGAAAAAAAAAGGATTTGATTCCACGTTCAAATTGGTTTGATCATTTCAAATTACTCTTCAATTTAATGTGCAGTAAAAGAAACTACTCCCTAATTTTTCTCATACTAATCTTTTTTGTTTTTCTTTTTTTTTTATTCTGCCTAAGTAGTGGAAGGTACAAAAGCAAGTCCATATTTACAAGTCTTGCATCCTAATACACATTTCTATCAAAGACGTTCAACCAATAATTATTCTTTATCCAACCAAACTGCACTAAAAATGTCTGCCATGTTAATATTGCAACACGCATAATTATAAAGATAGAACACGTTCAATTAGAACTGAAATATAGGAAATATATTGACATATTTCTATATCAAGACATTAAACTTCAGAAAATAACCAAACTGTAAACCAGTAAATAGCTTGACCATCAATTTTGAAGTAATCACACATCATGAATGTGCACACGTGTAAACACACACACACACAAACAGAGGAGAGACATACGGATCAGCTCGGCTCAGTCGACAAATCTCACAATAAAATAAATCAGGGAGTGGCGGATTTCCCTCCATAGGCTTCTCAGGAATTAGAACACAACCAATATGTTGCCACACTTGGCATCTTCGGTCCTCACACTGTCATTAAAGCAAGTGCAGAAAGCAAAAACATCAGCAATTAAATTTGAGGTAGAAGTAAAGCACAATGTTTTAAAGGAGGATAAAAAGGCAGAAAGCAAAAACATCAGTAATTAAATTTCAGGTCAAAGTAAAGCACAATGTTGTAGTGAAGGATAAAAAAAGGATGTCTTGAGAATCCATGTATGTCTTCCCACAATGGAGAAGAGCATATCATACAAACAGAATTATGAACAGAAATAATAATACATTTTAATTACAACATAAGATAACTTGATATCATTATAGCAAGAATCACTTAAAATTGCAGCAATAAAACAAGACCGAAAGCAATGTAACTCACAATTTAATCAGGCAAGATTCATATGAAAGTAGACAAACATAGAAGGCTGCAGTAGGAGATACCTATTGCTGCAGAAGGCCACTTGGAAAGATGCCAACTTCTGTTTTGAGGTAAATGTCAACCTTAGGGAAATGAATGGTTCCATCATAAATGAAAGGGCAAGTAAATCCAGGAGAAACTCTAATGTGAATGAATCTATACACTTATTCAAAGTCAGTGTTTCCTAGCAATGCCACACTGATCTAATCTATTTCCATCTTTTTTTATAGCCTGAAATCTATCTAAAATTTTTACAAGAAGGTTTCCCCAAAACTAGTCGAGCAGTTATCAGATTCATTAAGACTGCAAAGCCTCAAGAATAATAAAAAAGGAACTGAGTTCATGAATCATGAGATGATGCCAGCAAAATGCATAAGTATTATGAAAATTGAGTACAATATATCATTTCAAATCAGGTGAACAAAAACCCAATTCGAAGAGCCAGAAATAAAACAAGAATTGACGTTAAAAAGGTAGAAACACCCAACATTCCAATCAAAGGCTTGTGACATCCATAACCAGAAACATGCAACAATGAGGGCAAAGAACATTAAGCTCACCATCATTACCTTGATAATGTTCTCATTATCCAATGAACTTCCACAGGGACAACGAACTTTCATATCTAATTGACATGGATCATCTATTTCCCCTTGAAGTTTAACATTATTGCTGTCTGACACATCCTGTCCCTTTGATGCCAATTCAGTAGCTCCAGGAACCTGCATCTTCCTGAGGACAAGAAATACACTTTAGAGAGAGGAAATAAAGGCAATAAAAAACATCTAATAATCATAAGTGGTTAATCAGATATACTAGATCCAATTGGCCTGCATCTCAATAGTAAGATATATTGTTCACAGAAAAAACAATGAAAAAAACAAATAACACCATTGTAAATGTTGCCATCTAAATCTTCAATAGAGATAAATCATAAATGTGAACACAAACCTGTATATGGCATCAACAAGTTTTGCCACCTCTTCCTTTCCCACAGGAGTCCTCTTTGCCCACATCTTTGCAACTGGAAAACAGAAAGTAAAACCTTATTATAAAGGCTTAAATAAGTAGTTTCTGAACAGGTTGAATAGATTTAAGAACCAAATTTGAGCTATCTAGCATCTAATGATACTAAAAATTTAGGAAATAGTACAATTCTACTGACAAATATACTCGTATGCAACCCATTCCCTCCCTTCCTCACCAAAACACTGCACTCATAATATAAAAAAAAAAATTTACAGGGAGCCATTGGAAGCATCGACAAATTATAATGAAATTAGCAAATAGAAAAGTTTAATGCAAAACCTCTTTGATCCAGAAAACCAACAGCAAAATTAGGCAGAATAACAGTTACATAATTACTTTCCTTAATCACATCCCCACCAAAATAAGACAAACAAATAACTAACTGATAAAGTCCTGTCAAGAGTTCAAACTGAAAACACTTTACAACATTTTAACAATATACATTATTATTTCACATCCAACAATATAATTGTGTTGCAGATACAATCATATCAACAGCTAAATACTAGCACTCTAACAGCCTATGTCTAAGGCTAGCAGAGTAATCCGAGAAAGAATAAATATTTAAAAGATAACATAATCCATAAATGACTGCTATGTGATCTGGAGTCCCAGGTTCGAGTTGCAGAAACATCCTCCTGTGAAAATGCATGGTAAAGCTGTGTACATTAGACCCAATAATTCCGACCCTTCCCGGAACCTGCACATAGCAGGAGCTTTACGCACGGGCTGCCATTTTTTTTTTTTTAATCCATAAATGACTATGGTGGCCATATGCTGTCTGTTCAAACAAGAGAGGCCGGGAAGAATATTTTACCTTGTTCATCAGAGAGAGCACCTAATATCCTCTCAACAAGGTCCTACAAATGAAATTTACAGAAAGATCAAACATAATCCTACAACATGAAGGTGCAAGTTATGATAAAAATGCAGATAACTGACGGACAAACAATTATCATAGCCCCCAAAATTTTTAGACTGTTAATTTGCTAAATCTGCCAGTAAATAATTTAACAGATTTGGAAGCAACACAGCGCAATTCCAACCACCTTGCATACAAATCGGTGAAAATTCATGGTTCACCTTTGCACACTCAAAACACTAAAAGGCAGAAACAAAAAGCACATGCATTAACTAAGAAAAACACTAAAAATTCCATCTACCAACTATCCTTTTTGTGGTCAAACAACATCAGCTCGTAAGACACTGTTAAAAGTTAGAATAGTTACTAGCTTTATACAGAAAAAAAAACACACACAAAAAAAAAAAAGAAAGAAAAAACAGGGGGAACCATGAATTCAAGGTAATAATAACAAGACTATTGCAACTGCTATGATGTTAAGACTCAACATAGACATCCCCTCAAATTCGTACAAGAGAATGAAACCAAGTAAAATGCAGTGCATTATCTCAAGCCCCTAACCTGCTTCTTCCCCTGCTTTGAAAGACCCAACTGAGTGAGAACATCCTTGAGTTCTTTTATTCGAAAATATGCCAATTTATCCTACAATAGGAATATCATATTCAAATAAGCTCTCCACAAACAAATTTAAAGGAAAAAAAAAAATCAACATATTAGCATCAGCCATAACAAGAAGCAACTAAAAACATACAAGTTTATCCGCTAAAACACAGCTTAAAAGGTTGGTCTTATACTCTGACTACAATGATAAATGTAAACATGGCATGATTTAAGAGTCTGTATAAAATAAAGTTAGAGAAGCAGTTGTTCACAGCTAATACTAATTCCACCAAACAAAAGAACTGAAACCAACAAAAGCATCAACAGTAAGCTTACTTACAAACTTAAAACTACTTGATTCACAAAGCCACTTAAGCTATACCATATGTTGCAACAGGAGGAAATCTCCACTATCAAACTAAGTTCAGTAGTCGATATCCCTTATATAAGGGATTACCAGCTATCCAACAATTAAATTACATTGCAAAAACCTAGTTCATGGACTTCGATAAATAAATCCAAAAAAAAAAAAAAAAGATATAAAAAGGCATATTCTCAAACAATATTCAATAGTTAAGTCTTATATAATTACATACCATTTTCGAAAATATTTTATAAAAAAAATAAGTAAAATACCTTGCAACTGGTTACCAAATCCATATCCAGTTTACAATCTGTAGGCAAGCAAAAACCAGTAATCAAAAACCTAAACACTAAAAAATTACCAATCGATCTAATCAACAATAACCAAAAACAAAACCGAGAAAATTAAATTGAATCAATCAATCAATCTTCAAAGAAAGAGAAAATCAATCCAAAGGAACTTACGAATTTTCCGAAAATAAATAGAAAAGCAAATAGAAAGGAAAAGTTAAATAGAAAATTTGCTGAATGGAAAAGATATCGGGGAAATAGGGTTCGGAGTTTGGAGGACGACGACTTCTCTTTCCCTTTGTCTTAGTTTTTATTTATTTATTTTTTTTTTGACCAAAGAGGCCCGGCCAGAACAGAAGGAACTAAAACTTTCAATAAAATTACAAAAGTGACAGGACTTATTGCCGATTATCAAATCGGGTTTTTTAACGGGGAACACGTCCGGGTTTAGTTTCGGTGAAATTGAGTGCTCGTTTTTGTAAGCCACGTCCTCCTTTTCTTTTTTTCTTTGGGCAGTTTTAAAGTACGTATATATGTACGTTGACTCAAGCTAAAGTTAGATGGTTGACCTGATGAGTGGGAAGGTAGATTGATTAAATGGCGTTTATAGCCGCTGATTTTTCCCCTGCTTGGAAATTTTTGGGTGATTTTCATTAGCGGTCTGAAATAAAAGAATATTAAATGTAAGCTTAATTGATTTAAGTTTGCAATTTTGGATTATTAACTAGTTTCGTTCTCAAAATTTGAAATCTCACAGTTTTATCCTCAATTTATTTTAAATTTTAAACGACTCAATATCCATTCCATTTCAAAAAATTGATCTTACTTCTATTTAATTTAAAGTCATATTCTTCATATTAAAATCTCAAATTTTATCCGTTTGAGAGTTTTTTGAAAAAACCTCAAACTTAGGTTAATTCGTGTTTCAAAATTAATATATTTAATTCTTTAATTAATATACTTTATTTGGGTGGCCGATGATAAGAAATTTTCACCAACTATTCAAATAAAATTATAATTTAATAAATGATTATTACATTAAACTAATTTGAGGGTACATTTTATATAAAATAAATTTATGAGATTAATAAAAAGATTTTAAAACTGTATAAACAAATTTATAAAAAAATATAGTTTTAGGTATATGATATAGTTGACTTAATAAGCCAGCCTAACTTTACATATGATATAACGTTAAATAAAAGTAATAAAAATTATTTTTTAAAAAGTAATAATAGTAGGAAATTTGGCGGAAATGGGAGGACTTTTAAAAAGCCTATCCCCACAATAACCAAGTTAGGTTGGAAATTTATATATATATATATATATGATTTATATTTAATGTATTATTAATGTATAAATTTTATATATTATTAGTGAATTATATATAAATTATATATATAATTTATATTTGATGTATTATTAATATATAAATTTTATATATTTTTAATAATATTATTTTATTAATAAAATGAATCAAATGATATTATTTCATTAATAAAAAAATTTTAAAAATTATTTTTTATATATTTATTTTAAAAATTAATATTTATATATTAATCAAATGATATCATATAATTTATTGATAATTTATAAAATTTATACATTACTAATAATATATCAAATATAAATTTATATATATATATATATATATATATATATATATACCTTTAACTAAAATTATGACATGTGGACACAGCCGCATCAGCCCATATTTGCTCTATTTAATGCCTTCTGTGCTTTGCCATATCAGCTCCTTTTATCAAACTTATGTCTAACTTATATTTTTATCCTGTTATCTAGACATCTGGACATAGCCAAGTGACGCCACATTTGTTTTAAGTTTCACCCCCATTAATGTTTTTTTTGGTTTTACAAGGAGGAATGAGGATGGCGGGATTAAAATTCACATCTAAATATATTTTTTAAAGCCTTTTAATCATTAAATCAAGAGGTGAAAGAATCACTCTCATTAATATTTTTAATATTGGTTGAGATTTATGTCCTAGCCAAAAAAAAAAAAAAATCTTTATTGACGATGAAGGAATTGTAATCTAATTACTTTTTCATCGTCTGAATATGAAATTGAGTGCCAAAAGCTTATTGTCCATTTCGAAACCTCTTCTACACTCAAAGACATAGTCCTTTGCATTGAATGCTTTGCAGATACAAATGAAATGAACTTTCCCGCTGCTATAAATTGTCTGGTGACCTCTGGGGTGCCTCCCACTGTAGACCACAGGGTTGCTGCTGATGCATCTGCTACTACCTTGGCTGCCATAGTGGCTGAATTTGTGCAAAATTTTATTACTGCCATGGATTCATTGAAACTCAATATTGTGGCAGTTGATGAAGTGCCTCCTTTGTCTTTTTACCTCTCAGCTTCACTTAAAACAATTTTACATATTTTCATAGGAATGACATATATGAACTATTTGATACTACAAATGGATAATTATATTAAATATTTTTTAGTTTCAATCATTCATTCAATGTTTTGACAAGTCTATGAAAATGATTGTATGAAAAACAAAAAGAAAATAAAAATTGTAGCAACGTGCAAGACTTTACTCAGTATAATATATAATTAAATAATCAACCAATAAATTAAAATATAATTAAATTCACACATAATAAAACTTTAATTTAAATTTTCTTTTTTGCCACTAAACCAAGATCTCTTTGGATTATCTATTGTTGGAATTATATTTAGGAATGTTAATTTTATTCAAATCTGACAAAAAGTTTTATTTTTTACCCTAACAGGAATAATAATGTATATTAAATTTTAGAAATGATATAATTTTAAATATTTGATCGATTACAGAGATGAATAATATAACATTTGCTCCGTACCTATAACATATATATATTTATATCTATTTAATAAATTAATTTTTTAATTAATAATATAATTTTTTAGATTAATTAGAATTAATATATTTATATTTAAAAATATATATTTATAAAAAATTAAATAAACATGCAAGATAAAAGTAAAAAGAAACGAAAAAATAATTTTTATTTTTATTTTTTTAAAAGTTATGGATATAATGATTACTCATATCTATTAAATAACTATAATAATAAAAAAAGAGATAAATTTAAAATATCTACTAAATATAAATACAAAACATATAAAATATAAAAAATCAAAAATTAAAATGAAAAACATTCTACCTTATCTATTAAATACCTATAATAATAAAAATAAAGATAAATTTAAAATATCCATTAAATATAAATATAAAAATATATAAAATATAAAATCAAAAATGAAAATGAAAAACATTCTACCTTATTGACGTCTCTAATTATATTGGTTAATTAGACTGTCTATCCTGTCTCAAATTAAAAAAAAAAAAAGAAAAAAAAAATGGCAAACCATTGCTTTATTCTTATGCCATGCAAAAGCACTGTTAAAATCATGATGCTTGTCCTTAGCTCCAAAAATGCTTCCAAAACTTGGATATTTTCCTCCCACCCCTGCATCACACTTTTTAACTCCTTTACAACAGAAAAATACAAAAAGAGCCATCTTCCCTTGGTAAACATATGTCGTCAAATGCAATCAGCTATAAGTGTATTTGGTAATTTGCATATTTATATTTAATTTGAAAATATTCTTTCATAATAAAAAATATTTTTTAAAAGATTTATCAAATTTATATTTAATTTTATAAAATTTAAAATATATCGCTTTTATATCTTTTTCATATTGTATTTAAAATTAATGGTTCTGGTTACAAGATTTAAATGCTTTGAGAAGGAGAGACAGACAGACCAAACCAGATGAGAGAACCATACCAACACATCTTCCAAGTTTAAACCTTAATAACAGGAGAAAGTGACAATTCCAACAACTTCAAACACAATTCCCTTTTAACCAATATTGCAAACAATAATTAATCATAATCACATAAAACAAAGAAAAAAGAACCAAATCACAAGATTAGAAAGCTAGAACCCAACCCCAAACCCTCACTTTAACTTCTTCTTCTCCTTCTTACATCAAATCATTCATACAAAAATGCAGTCCATGTTAAACCTTCATGCAACTTATGGTCTTCCTCTTTGTGTTTCTGGCATCACCCAACATTTTATCCTCTCTGAAGAGTACACTCATTTCAATTTTCTTTCTCTTTTGCCTGTTTGCAAGTGTTAATTATGCCTTTTCTAGTTGCCTAATTGGTGTTATAAAATAATTGTTCTTATCTTTTGCGTCCCTTGCTTGTTTCGTTGAGTAGGATGGCAGATCATGACCGCAGGAGGGAGGCCATGAAAAAGCAAAGATCAAGAGCCAGTGAGAGTCTGCATGCAAATCAAGAAATAGTTGCTCAAGAAAACTTTAAAAGAGTGGTTGAAGCGATCATGGGAGCTGAAGTTGATGGAGATCGAGCTACTGTTTTCCAGGATATGTCCTGCAGTTGCTTGGCTTGTACGGTGAAAGCTGCATAGTTTAGCCAAGTAAAACCACTATTTCTTGGCATGATTTGGCTTAGAATTTCATAGTTTCTAATTACATATTTATATGGTTTACTGTTAGATTTGGACTTCCAGTTTCGGTCTTCTGTTGTTTCCTTTATGGGATCTTAAATTAATTATTACTCAATTCACCAAAAAACCAAATTGATCTTTTCTTCTTGTTGTTTTGTCGTTTTAGATTGAATATCTAAAATAACTACTAATTAGACATGTACAAAATGTTTATCTTGTTTCCAGTTTTTCTTTTTTCCCAAACAAAAGTAATTACCCAAAGATCTTCTAATTTATAAGCATCCATTTGAATTCACAGTTAAATTGATTTTAATGAGATGAAAATAACAATAATGATAAAATTAAATACTATGCAATGATGAAATTAAAATTAATATTAAATATATATATTTAGATGCAAATATAACAGTAAAAAAATTTTTATTTTTACACTACGGCAGTTGATTGTTTGCATGCCCTACCTCCTATGCAAACAATCAACTGCCTTGGAAATTGTTCACTAGACTCTTCTCCCTCCAATCACAGACTGAAAAATAGCAAAGAACAATTACACTGCGAGTTGCTATCCAACGATGCAGTTAACCCCGAAAAGTAAGTGCGGCGGAATCAAAAGGGCCAAGGCATGCCAGTATTCGACCACATTCTCCTAATCTCACTCAAAACTTCCTATCAAGTTAGAAATAAAGAAATGCTTATGCTGTATGCTTTTGATCACATAAATTTGAGGTTCATCTTTTCCAAGCAGAGCCCACTAATGAAATGATTGGTTTAAAATCGTGTTACCAACTCGAGAGATGAAGACGAACAACATTAGATACAAGGGGGAAATCATGCAGAAGAATAATCTTCCATGGGCCACCTGATGGCGTTGGACCACTTATTTTCAGAGAATTATTGAGCTGTTGACATTTTAGGGACCTTACAACCGATGTCAAGTAGTGACACCTCCACACAACATTTTAGTAACTGATCGTTCTAAGAAAACTAGCCTTCAAAATTGAAATCAGTTTTCTAATTGTTGCTTTTGTACCAAAAAACATTTTGGTTTTCGATTAGACAGTGTTTGAGTTCAACACTTGCTCCAAAAACAGATGCAGCTAAAGATTTTGAGGATTCTCATTAAAAGTTTTAATTGTAGAACAAAAATTATTCTTATCTAAAGGAAAACAAGTAAGAAATTAGTATTAACTTTTCCCTTTACACCCACTGTTCAAATAATATTGTAGCATACCGTTTAATGGAAGGAAAGAAATGAGGTGGGAATTGGTAGGAAGGGGTTACATATTTTTGCAGTCATTAAGACGATTAAAGGGGGCTGCTATGAAGTTCATCCAGAGTTACAAGCCTTTGCGAGTCAGTCACTGGAACCTCGCCATAGAACTGATAATGTTTCTGTCAGATAGTCTGTACCTGAGGATGGTTGGTTTGAAATCAACTGTGATGGTGCTCTTCATCGTCATTCAAAGGTAGCTGTGAGTACTTGGGTTCAATGTTAAGAATGTTGCTGTTAAGGATCTTAAGCGAGGATACGTTGCTTCTAACTCCAAGGATGATCCTGCCAAGGAGGTTGCCAACTTCACTTCTCAGGTCATTATTATGAACCACCCTGGCCAAATTGGTAATGGATATGCCCCAGTCCTTGACTGTCATACCTCCCACATTGCTGTCAAGTTTGCAGAGTTGTTGACCAAGATTGACAGACGATCTGGAAAGGAGCTTGAGAAGGAACCCAAGTTCTTGAAAAATGGTGATGCTGGTTTTGTGAAGATGATTCCCACCAAGCCCATGGTTGTGGAGACCTTCTCTGAGTACCCACCTTTGGGTCGTTTTGCTGTGAGGGACATGCGGCAGACCGTGGCTGTTGGTGTTATTAAGAGTGTTGAGAAGAAGGACCCATCTGGTGCCAAGGTCACCAAGTCTGCAGCTAAAAAGGGTGGAAAGTGAACAATGCAACAAGAGCCCTAAGGTTTTGCAGTTTGTGCAAATGGAGTATTCTATCCTGGTTATAGTTTTAAGAACTTGATTTCTCAGTCTTTCAAAACTTTTCTTTGTCGTTATATTTAGTATCTTCCCTTCGAATTTGAGTAGCAAGTCTCAGAATTTGGCGCATCATAGCCGGCGGCAGTCATAGCATTTTGGTTCTACCTGTTTTGTGGAGTATTTAAAGTTGAGATGCTTTGGTTTGCTGAGGCATCTCAGAAGTTTTGTGTCTGATTTTGCGGAACTATCTTCTATATATTTGCTCAGTTTCTGTCCCTATATACTTGATTATCATGTTCTATTTTGCTTTGATGCCTACCTTGATATAAACAGGCTTCTCTGAATTTAAATGCCAAAAAAGAAAGTGTTTTCTGAATTCTTAGGTTTTGTATCTCTGGATTATTACCACTATAAGTGGATTGATACATTATAAAAATCAGATAACAGAGTAAGAAAGATGTGAGAATTATTTTATTGCCCACATTACCAGTTTATCTTAAAGAAGGAACAAGCCTACACGATTAGTTGTGCAGGCAGCTCTAGACAAGTTGAAGCTTCAGTCGAATGTTTATCTTGCTTCTTCTTGTGCTTCAGCTTTAGAAGAGAACACAAGAAACAATCTCTTTCAAGTGGTTTTCGTTTTGTTGGCAATATTTCTTGTTGAAGTTCCTCTAACCTTGGTTTCAATTAAAATACTCGATTTGCACTTGTAAAGGCTTTGCTTTTGTATCATGCTTTTCTACAACAGATCTATGATAAAGATGGCAACTTATTAATGAAAACCTCTGTTCAAAAAAATCACTGAGGAAATTCAAAAACTAAATCAAAGATTAAAACAAAATCAATTAAACATCTTCGATTTGACTCGATGATTTTTGGATTTTTTTCTTTGTTTTGGATCTTTTCTCTGCCTTGAATCAATCCTGAAAATTGTCTCCCTTTTAACGATAAAGATTTTGGGGATTTAGGTTTAAGAAAAAAGGGAGAAGAAAAAAAAAAAAAAACAAGAACACAAAATCATTAGCCCAGATCCAGGATGGCGTTAACTGGGAAGTGAAAACTGCACTTCCATTGTTTAGCAGATTAAACAGAGTATTCTATCCTGGTGAGAATTTTAAAAACTAGGTTATTCTCAGTCAAAACTTATTTTTGCAAAATATATTGGTTTTCGTTTTACTCTTTGTTACTTCCATGTTATTATCTATTTTCTAACAAGCATACTATTATGTAATGAAAGGGAAAAAATTTCGGAACATATGCAGCCCAGTTTTTGCTCTCCTCCTCCACGAGCTTCACTTCACTTCAATTTCTCTCACATGAGCGAGAAAGCATTGGGCCAAAACTATATCACCACTTGAAAAATCAATAATATTTACCAAGATTTATAAAACTTCCATACTTAATGAAAAACCCAATCGATAACCCTTTTAGCTGAAAGAAACAGAATGAACCCCAGATTTAATTCGGTTAACCTATGCAACAACCTTCAGAAAGTGACAATTAACAAATCTATAATTCAAATTTTAGTATCTGTAACTTCTTTGCTTGTCTTTATACTGCAACCCTTTTTATTAAAAAAAAAATCACGGATTAATACAGCCTTCTCTGGTACTAGTACTGTATTACATTTTTATTGAATCAAAGACTTGATGGCAACATTATTCAAAAAATTTTAAGTGAATTGAGGCAACCTAAATAATAGTGCTACTATTCTAAAGATTTTCATTTATCCACGGACAAATTTTGCATAGCTAAATATGCCGTACAATAAGAAACAAATCAAATTGCAGCTCTTATGTTCCACAAAAAGTGTAATCTTTAGTACCTTCAATTGATCCTTGCCATTCTCCTTCCCCCTTATGTCTTTGCTCGCAGCATAAATGAATTAAGCGGGCTCAAGACCAAGCTTCAACATGATATTTACCAGCTTTTTCCAGAGACCTAAGCCATCTCGCAGCCGATTCCCTTGGAGCTCCACTCTCCTTGGATATAATCTCCTCAAAAGCTAACATGACATCTGATGGCATTTTTGTTGAAGAGCCTGCAACATAGATAGCCGCTCCCTCACACAGCAAATTCCAAATCCTTTGGCTTTGTTCCTGCATCTTATGTTGCACATAAACCTTCTGGGGTTGGTCTCTCGAGAAGGCAGCATAAAACCCACCACCCTTGGCTTCTGAAAGCACACCATCATTTTGTGAATGGAACAACCAAAAATCTCTATATAGAAAGTCATTCTCCTCGTTTTGGCAACCAAAGAAAAGAATAATTGGAGCAATTGGACCAGACAAACTCTGTATAGCTCTTTCCTCCACAAATCCGCGAAAAGGTGCACAACCAGTTCCAGGTCCAATGAGAATGAGGGGAAGCAAAGGAGGTGGGGAAGGCAGCAAACCTTTATGAAACCATACTGGAATATATATCTCTGCTAAACAAAATAACATGTTAGAATGACTAACACATGCTATATACAGTTGCAACAAGGAAGCAAAAAATTGGACCATGCAAACCCACAGCCATACTTTGTTCAGGGTCGAGACCGGCTAGCCCTGTTGAGCAGAGACCTCGCCTTTTCCGCTTGAAAGGTGTTGTCCATGACACAACATCCACAGTCAAATGCACTTGATTTGGGTGAGCCAAAGGGGAAGAAGAAATGGAGAAAGCCCTATTTTTCATGGGAGGAACCAACTCCACCAGCCACTCAAATGGCATTTGCACAGAAGGGAAATCCTCCAATACCTATATCACAAAGATTGAGATCAATTTTGCTTTCAGTGGAAGTTGCATTTTTCTTAAAATCCTGTAGTGTTTACTATTTAGTATAAAACTGTATTGAAAGGGGTAAATTTGTCATGCTATCGTACTTTTAATGATATCAACACCAAACATGACATAGGTTTAGAGGCAGCAATTGGGTGAGACGGTTTAGGTCATTTCGTATTGAAAGAAATTCAGGGTGGTTTCGGGTTCAGATCATTTTGAATCTAAATTGTTGAGTTTTTTTGGTCAAATCAGGTTGGATTGAGTTTAGATTTAACAAGTTTGGATTGTTGACCTTTTTTTGGTCAAATAGAGTTGGGTCAGGTTTGTGTTCCGGCATGTTTGGGTTTGCTTTGCCAGCTTTACATAATATAAAAATTATCCTATTACTATTAAATCTCACACACACCAAACAGATGATAAGACTATATAATTTAATAATATCCACTTAACTTATGCTATTCTTTCCATTAGTCTATCTACCAACATATTTGAATGGCCGAAGAGAATAAAAGAGTGAGGCAAGCATAAGATACACAAACATAACAATTTTAGGTATGATTACATATTAAGATAAGCATAACAAGCTACAATTAAAATACAAGGAGTTTTGCTCTCATTTGTTTAGAAATTAACGAAAGACTATATTTTAGAAACCACTACTTGTAAAACAAAACCCTTTTGTCTGGCAAGATTTTATCCTCCTCTTCCCTGATCTTGCCCTGCTCACTTGTACCAATAAATAAATAATACCCTACTAAAAAAAGGCGATTAAGAACAGAATGATGTTTAGAAAAATGTTCCATTTCTTTTTTTTTTTTTTCAGAGTAATTCTCAAAAGTTATCCTCTACAATTGATGAAAACTTAAGAAGATAAAAATAAAATTTGAAAAGATCAAAAAACAAAGGAAGACGAGAATTAAAATAAACCACAAAGGACCAAAATGGCATCAATTGTGTATAATCTACTTCACTTTACCTCCAGAACAGTTCTTCTTTCCTTCTGGTTGTATTGGTAAAGATCATCTCTTCCTTCGGGTGAAGCAAAATATTGAAGTCTTTCTTTCTCATGTTCAGCAGTTGCAAAGAAGCTCATAACCTGTAAACAATGATGTCAGACTGGAACCAAGCATTGAAACCTTGGTGAAATTTTTTGTTTCTTTTCTTTTTTCTTTTCCTTTTTTCCCCCAAAAATCATTTTAAGACCTTTATAATTATTTGTATAAATCCTGGAATTATATTCATGGCAATACATGTATGACAAATTTCCCTAATGGGCACAGGTAATTAAACCATAGACTGTCAAGTGAATTCCAATCCACTAAACAATTCGATATATGGACAGCATCATTGTGGAAAAGGTGGTACCATTGTCAAAGGAATCCTTACCACAATGCATGGACAGGGAGGTAATAAGCATCTGCAGTAAATTCAGTTTCTTACAAAATGGAAATTTAGATATATATATATATATATATATATGGTAGAATTGTAACTTAGAACACAAACCTAATTGATATGCATATATTTTATCTCAAACATAATACCCTAATTGCAATGCACCTATTTATATGAAAAATATTTGATTGAATATTACAGGTAACTATAACACTTTTTCATTTTTAAGTTATTTTCTGAGATAATCTTGACAGTTGATAACTGCAAGTGAAATACAGGCTCAGTAAAGGAAACAAAAGTGCAACACATTTCACCAACACAAGCTGGGAGGAATAGCCTGATAGAGAAATACCGTGATAGAAAAACCAAAGAAGTTAAAACATACAGGATCTTGCCTCAAAGAAATAGCGCCGTGGAGAAGCAGATGCGACATCCATTGCCAGTTCCACAAAAGTTCTTAATTTAATGGGTACCTCTAAAGCATGTACATTGTTATCAAGATGGTGATTTTCCGTTTCTCTAGGATGGACCTGAAATGAACAATATTTTTCAGCACAAGAAGGTTAGCATATAGCAAGATCATGTTCAAAATTTCTTATGCATGTGAGGTGTGCAAGGCTAAAAAAATTTTCGCACCCTAATAGGCAAAGAGAATATTAATTATCAAACTAACAAGCAGTGTTATACCTATGGATGTGAAACACTGCCAAACCACAAAAAGTGGTAAATATGACTGTGACAGGGGAAATGCTGCCATAAGGCTACCATAATACAGGCAGCTGGAAGAAGTTACCATGACAAGGGAATATGACAAATGCATTATAAAGCAAATTTTACAAGCAACAAATAAGTAATTGAGGTTTTTACGACAGCCAAAATGAAAATATTAAACACACAAAAGTAGAGGATGGGAGGATATAACACATATGGAAGGATTCAGAAGGGCAAAAGCTAATACATTAAAAGGGGATGTTAGAGAAGACATCAGTGCCAGTAACTAAAAGATTCAATTTGAAGCGTTAAGGCAATGTCAACAGGATACCAGATAAACCATGTGAGCATATTTAAAGCAATGTCTCTGCTGTTTGGAAACAATGCCTACATCTTTTTGTAGCAAAAGTTATCATATGAGGTGAAAATTTTGATGTCTTCAATACTACAAACCCAAAAGAAACAACCAATACAATGAAAGGCTGCAGATTCTTAAGTACTAGGTATGAAGATGAACTTAGGGCTATCACTAACAAGACGCTCATCAAGTATTAATATCTGATGGCTTTGTCATCTCCAAAATTTATGCTCAGATGATTGAAGCACTGCCTACTTAAGGTCACCTGAGTAAGTGCCAAATAAAACAGTTTAAGTTTGGTCCAGTATATGCCTCAATTTTGGGGAGAGAGAACCTGACTGAATGGTGGCAAATGAGGAAAAACATGACAATTTTTGGGAAAAAGTGGCCAAGTCTTATCATACAAATCTTACTCTCTACTTCCAAGATAAGTCCCTAAATGTCTGCTGCAGTATTGTTTGAACATGTACTTAATACAAATATATAATATCAAGAACGGCAACATATGAATCAACAGAAGCATCAGAAGCATCGGAAAGAAGGATTACTACAATTAGCCAATATGGAAAAACAACTTACCGTTATGAATGATTCAGGGTCCAAATTACAGCGCTGTATGAAAGAATCAACTGCTGCAGGATTTTGCGAAGGGAGAACCTCTAGGACATCACCAATTTCATATTGCATCACCTAAAATATATGGAAAGATGAACAAAACATCAAGCAGTTAAGAAGGGACCTGGTTCAAAAGGTAAAGCTGTATCCAAAATTAAATGGAAGCAACAGCAAACAACCTACCCGAGAAACAAATTCAAATTCAAAGTGACGCACATCTTTTTCGTTGCTTGCCCTGGTCAATGGGCAGTTTTTGATCTGCAAAAGAAAATTAAAACATCAGGATAAAGAGATGGACAGAGCAAGATATCCCATAAACTACAATTAAATATTAAATTTCTATTCATGAACAGTCCAAAGACCAACGATGGGTAGAAAGTACCAAACAATTTCTAAAATGATTAAATAGTGGATAAATGTAAATTCATGTAATGACATTTTTAAGAAAGAAACTTCATTTTAATTAATATATTTAGTTTCTTTCTGTTGACTATTATTTCCAGATCACCAAATGCAACTCTGCACTAGAGAATAGGGCATATATTCTTATATGCATTCAAGCCATAAAAGGAAGTCCCTAATAGGGTTTTAATTAAAAGCAATTAATTATCTTCATTATTGATGACCAACAAGAATCAATAACTTAAACTTCCATATAGTCTTATGGATTAAAAGCAAAGCTGGGCAAAGGGAATGCCACAAAAATCACAGAATAACCCTACTAATTTGCAATCAGTAAGAGATACATCTAGATTGCATTCTACCCAAAGTTTCTAGCCACTACTGTTGATACCAAAAAAAGGGAAGCAGTCTTCCATCACTTTAGTAGCTAGTTCTTCTCTGGCCAAAAACAATATCATTACATGCATTTCAATTTTCTTTCACTTGCATATGGATATATCCTATTTCTTGAAGAACATGCAATTAAAAAACATAGCTTTCTTACATAGTAAAGTATGCTACAAATACCATTTTAAGAAAAGCATCAGGCTTGCTCTTCTCATGAGAAACTTTTCCGGGAGACATTGAGCGAGCCCTCCCAATTTGCATCTCAAGATGTTTAAAATCTGAAACATAAGAGTGAGTATGATCTCAGTGGAAAAGGAAAAACAGAAAAGAGAAAAGAAGATAAAATAATTATATCTAGAAATCAATCCAGTGCACTAGGATTACCAAATCAGAAAGGAAATTTATGGAAATCAAATCAAAAAGGAAAAACTTCAAAAAGAAAAATACTAATCATCTAGAGTCAATTGACAATTGTGTTGTTCATTCTTTTCCCTCATTACACATCTTGATAATTCAATTTCAAATATGACTAGTTCAACTACAATTTGGTTGTTGTGTGTCCTAATGTTCAATATCCACTAGCACAAGAGTCTACTATTTTTTTTTTCTTGTCAATTTACCTGCTGCAGTTGATAATTGGGAATCCATGTTTTTTATGTTATGACACGTGACTTGAAATTTTGGTTGGCCAATTAATTCCACATTTGAAGCCACAAAATCTGGACCTTCTGGGAAGAAATTGGGTTTGATCTCACACAACCTACTCCACAATGATGACATCCAAGGATCCAGAGCAGCTTCATACCTGTCAATATAAATTAAATTTTCAGTAAATTTGAAGGGAAAAAAATTACCTAGTCAAGTTTGTTTTCAACTTATCTTTTACACTAAACATCATCAACATCAAAAAAATATCATTCACTCTTTGGAGGGTGAAAAAGAAACCTATATTTCTTGCAACTCGACCTTGCATCCACAAATAATTCAAAAGCCTATTCGGCAGTAACAGCAAAGATCCCTTTTATATTTCAACTCAGGTCATCTCAAAATGCACTCATGGCATAGTGATATTTCTGATCCATTAAGTACAAAGTTAGTGTAGTGCATAATGATAGCCACAAGGTTTCTAAAAGCTATAGTTTACCTAAACTATCCACATTACTCAAGATCCCTAAGGACAGTAGATGGCTTCTAAGGTCTTTAATACTTTTCAGAATACCAGGGTTGATTAAACAATCCACTCTTGGCACTAAAGTACACTGCTTTCCATGGAATTAGCCATTCATAAACGAAAAGTTAACCCAAAAAATTCTATTTTTATATTACAAAGGTTTTGAAATGATTTATAAACTAAGGGACTGAGGACACAAGAACATGCGCTAGAAATACCTAAAAGAAAATCTAATAGGCAATTAAAAAAGGATCATGTATATTAACCACTTAAATCTCTCCAAAAATCCATATTATCACAGGCACATACATCATTTTCATTCCACGGAATCTTATAGTTATAGGATGGTCTTTGTCTGTCTGGGTTTGCACCAGGTTCTAACTAGTTTTGATGAGTTAACAATGGACCATTTAAAGAAACCAGAGAGCATGTGGAAATTAAGAACTCTGAAAATAATATTGCTGAAGAACCAGCTATCACACCAAGTTAAATGATCTTCATCAGTTAAACACTTAGTAAGCATACCCAGAAGGATGCTGATCATCGCCCAAACCTCTCTCAACAACAGCTGTAGCCCCAAGGTCTGAAAGTCTTTTATCAAGCCTCTTTGCAACAAACTGCAGCCACCATACATCAAATAACGTTTAGCTCCAATTAAGCACTAAGAACTGTGTCAATCAAACTACATGACAAACTATTGTGTAGAAACTGAAACCTATACAAAGCCACCTGATTCATAGCTTCGGGCATAAACTTTGATAATTCTAACACCATAAGAGTCCACTTCATTACACAGCTAAACAAATTAAACACCAGGAAACCGATATTTGTAATTTGCAATTGACACTTCATTATACATATCATATTCTATGAAATTACAGGCCTTCAAAATTAATGTAAACAAAGCATCGATAATGTGCTTTTCAAACTTTTGCAATGGCTAAAACCTGGCACTTGATAACAGTCATCATGTCATTGACAAGTCTATACATTTGCTTCCTCAAACAATATACCTCCAAAAGGTGAGGAATGATAACTATGCTCACCTAAGCTACACAGAATGGATATCGCGTAAAAAAAAAAAAAGAATCTAATATATAAAGAATGTTATGTAAGTCGGAAAAAGTAGAAATGAATTTGACAATGCAATCAAAGGAACTCAGGAAAGCCATTACATTATATTTCTGGTAGCCAGAATCACCTAATCCAAACACGGCATAATGAACTCCGTCCAACCAATGGCTGCCTAGATTTCTTTGCAGAAGAAACCTCCAAAATACCTGCAAATTTTATAATATTAGGAAACTCAAAACAATAATATCGAGTCACACTCCAATAATAACAATAATAATAAATATGCAAAGAAAAACATGATTTTTGAAGATAACTAATTAGGAGTAGCCTTGCCTTCATAGAATCTGGAGTATCCCCTTGGCCTGTGGTAGAAACAACAAAAATTACAGCATCTTCTTCAGGCAAGGAGCTCTGCAATAACAAGTAAGTTACTCAAAAACTTTCAACTTGAAAAGAAAAAAAAAATTGAAGAGATAGTTACAGCATCATATTCGTCGGTTGAATGAATTAAGACAAGGCAGGCTCTGCGCTCAGCTTCTCGAGCAATACGTTCAGCTGCATCCAATGCATTTCCAGTTTGAGTTGCGTATAGTATTAGTAGTTTCTTTGACTTCATCTCCATTGCCAAACTTGGCAAATCTAAGAAATTGCTCCTTTTAGGGTTAATCGGAATGGAAGGAAGATTCAAGAATCTGTAGAAAGAAAGTCGGAGGAAAGTGATTAGGGTCCGCTTACGTGAAGGTGAAAGTCTGGATCTGTTCACAATTTATCATACCCCTATATTAAAGCTTTGGTTTGGTCAGCGGGATACAGCTAGGGGTGCAATCGAGCCACAGTGGAAGCTTGAGCTTGACTTCAAACTCGCGACTCGATACTCGATACTCGACTCGAACTCGATCGAGTTTCATTTTTTTAACTCGAACTTGACTCGTAATCAAAACCAAACTACTCTAATTTGCTTGATTAGGCTTGTTTGTTAGTAACAAATGAGTTCGATTTCAAGCTCGACTATTGATAATCAAGCTCGAGCTCGAACTTGAACTTAAAATTTTTTCACATACGACTATTCGTATCAATTAAATCTAATAAATAATTATATTTTTTAAAAAACCATAAAATTAATTAATTAATTAAAACCTTATCCAACAAGCAAATCTAAATTTTTCTTGACACAAAAAATCCCAATCAAATTAACCAAATACAAGAACACTAAATAGCGGCCGCAACCCGCCCGCCACCGCTATCTGAGAAAAAACGGCTGAGAATTTGAAACACACTCGAAACGGGACGTTGCGGCCGCAAGAGAAAGGAATAGCAGTAATAACGGTCAGTTATTTGGCGCTATCCCTGTTTTCTGTCCACATTTTAGAATTTTAGAAGAAAAAATTCAATTGGAAGGTGAAATTGCAATGATCCAACCCTAGAAAGTGAGAACTGAGAATTGAGAACTCTGAGAACCAAAACAAAAAACAAACGACAGAGCAACCTTAGAGGCTCAGTTGAATAAACTCAATTCACCCAAATTCAATCTCAATCAAGATCAAGTGTTGAAGAAAATGTAATTTGATGGTAAGAAGACTGTAAGAGTAAGTTAAAAAATGACCTTTAAAAAAATTTTGGTGCAAATTGCTGTTGATTCGTTGAGCACTTGAACTTGATTTGCAAGCTGCAACTGTCGATCGAGGCCGAGAGGTGAGGGTTTACGATTTACTTTACTGATTTTCGGTTATATGTCATATATGGGTTTGGGTCTTTGTGAGAGAGAGAAGAGAAGAAGAGGAACACTGTACAGAGGGCACTCTGTATCTCTCTGAATCTGAGTGTGGGTGGGTCGTGGGTGAGGTGAAGAGTGAAGGTGAAGAGGCGGTTTGGGGGCCGCTGGAAGGGAGGTCGGAGGGGTGTGGGTGAGGCGACGGGGGGGCAGGGACCGGCCGACTGGGTGAAGGCGTGAGGGGGCCTTGATTCTGGTTACAAATTTGGTATTTGACTTTCGAGAAATGGGCGCTGGCGCATCGTAGAAACAGAGGGCTTTTATGGGAGGGGAGCGGGGCTGGAGGGGAGGGGTAGACGAGGGTTTCAATTTATTTTTTATTATTTTTTGAAAATATGGGATTTCATTTTAATGGTTTTTCTTGTTAAAATCTTAATGATTTATTAATTTATGATTTTGTATTTAAAAATTTAGTAATATTTTTTATTGTTGTTTAGATATTTATATTGTTATTAATTTTTTTTGGCTATTAGAACAATTTTATTAAGTTATTATTAATTTTGTGAATTATTAAAGATGTTATTTATTATATAATAAATTGAATATATAATTATTGTAGTATTATTATTCATTATATGACTATTGTAATATTATTAAATATGGATATTTAATATTTAATATATTTTATTTGGTTAATATTTGATTTATTTAATATTTAATATGGACTTAGCTCAAAGAACACCATATTATAATACTTACATCTTTGAATTTTTTTTTATTTTAATGATACGAGGGATAGAAAACACACGAAGATTCCTAAGCCATTTAAATAATGTTTTTAACGAAAGTAAAAAAATAAAATAAAAATTTCATACATAAAAATTCAAAAAATTTTAAAAGTTTTCAAATTTGTATATTGAAAGCTTTTTATAAAGTTTGAAAATTTATAAATCTAAAAATTTTTTAAAATTTTTTAAAAATAATTAAATAATTTTATTTAAAAATAATTAAAAAAAGGTATGAAAAAAAATGTGATACAAATAAAAGTTTCCAAAGTGTAAATCAATGAAGGGTTGAAAGTAAATTTGACAATTTTACATACGATATGAAAATAACATAAAAAAATCATATATAGTTTAGTGTAATTATGTTTTGTATCTTAATCATATTGACATGATTAAGACATAACATTATTAATTTTGTGTTTGTGTCAAACAATGATAACACGTTTAAGATATAGTATTGTTTATATAAGCATATATAACATATAAATTATAAAAAGTTATTTTAATTTATTTTTTAAATAAATTAATAATCATATTTATCGTATTATTTCGATATTTAGATAGATTATAAGTATTTAATTTTTAAAGAATTTTTTGTTTAAATACTAATTTAAATAAATTTTTTCTTTAAATAAATAAATTAATCATGTTTAATTGTATTATTCGTGTCTAATTGTGTTAATTATATCATGTCATGTTACTTGGTCATATTAAATAAATTAATTTTAAACGTATTAATCATGCCATATCGCGTATAAAATATACAATACGCATGTTATATTTATATTTAGGTTATTCATGTCATTTAAGTATTCATATATGTTCGTGTTAAAATATTCGTGTCATGTCTGAAATTGTATTCGATATGAAATACGATACGATAACATGAATTACTAAGTCTAGTTGGAACATGTTCTTTATCCAAGATATGTGCAAGCAATAAGGGTGGTGATCTATCCTGGAGGGCATTTCTCCATCCTTGACTACCTTGAAAATCAGCACCCATATTCGTCTGGTGCTTTCTAGGACTATGCTTAAATTGATTTTGATCGAAAAAAATCAACCAAAAATCAGTCTATAAGTTAAATCGATTTTTATTTTTTAGATTAAACATATTAAATCGGTTTGAGTCAAGGTTAAATTAATTTAGGTGACCGATTTCCAGTTCTAAGATTCAAGAACCGAACCAAATGAAATACTCGATGAAATATTATTAAGATATTTTATATTTTTATTAATTTAATTTTTATATTCTTTTACATTTTATAATTTATACAAAACTAAAACTCTGAAAGTGAGACCCTATTTCCTTTTGTTACTTTCTCTCTTTGATGGCCGACCTTCACCCACTTATCTTTGCATATCGCCATTACCATTTCTCGGTCGATCTTGAAATCGCAAGTTTCAATCAATGACCACCGATAACCACCACAACCTTCAATTAACTCTTTTCACTTTTCATAGTTCTTCATCCACTCGACCTTCTCTTTTTTTACAACTCAACTCAACTCAAGGTAAGATCCTTAATCCTTCTTTACCCATGCTTCTAATGTGTTTAGGAGATACCTTATTTTCTTTTTACTGAATTCTTTTTTGGGTTTTGAAGATCTTTTGAAAAAATATATACTTAGTCTTTGTTTGTATCAATTGTCACATAAGGCTTAAATTTCCTATAATTAATTAAAAGAAATTGTTTCATGTTTTAGAGATAGTTTTACAATTACATCATTTCTCTATAACAGCCATTTGACGCTATTGTATATATGATTTTTTTTCTTTCATTTTTTTTTGCTAAGGTAAAATTTTGTATATATTAAGGTATATATTGGGTAAAATTTTGTATATATTTGCTCAAGTTAATCTTTTATTCAACCTTGTAATTCTTTTTATTTATTTTTCCCTATATAAATTTTAGTCCTATTGTTTCCATATGTTGCTTTTCTATTAAAGTTATTAAAAGAATTAACTAATTGTATCAATTAATTTCAGCTAAGGTCAAAAGTTAAGAACTTTGATAATTTTGAAGTAAAAAGTGGTAGTTTGATTTGAATTCAAATACGGCTTAGATTTTACTAGTTTTAGTATATTAGGTTATTGTACAAGTAGTTTGTTGGTTTGAAAGTTGAAATAGAAAGAAGTGGATTTTTGGTTAAGTAGAACCTTTCGGTTTCCTATATATCCTCGACCCACCCAGTATTTGTCTTATTCCCATCCAAAGCATGTTTAGCTAAACTTATAATTGTCTGAATGTTGCCACCCAATACTCATAAGCAAATATATACCAAAGAATTACAGGTTAAATAAAATAAAGTTTTTTTATTAATTAATGAGTTCATAATGTTCTTCCACCCAATACTCATAAGCAAATATATACAAAAGATCTTTTTGAATCAATATATATATTTAACAAGAATTGCTATTTCTATTAAACAATCCATTTGCAACCTATTTAGTTATACCTTTAAAGAATCCAAGTCTTTGGTTTCTTGTCTACATTGACGTCACTTGCAGTAGTTTCATTTCATCTTTTATAAAATGCAATTTCTCATCCTAACTTGATTTTTTCCAAAATTGTCTAGAATTAGCCATGTTGCTTTCAAATTTTTTGCTGATTTCACAACCACAAATGCTGGTGAAGATCCTGCAGCCACTTTTATCCTAAATTGAACCTGAGATATCGATAATGATATCTTATTAGTTCATCATTTTTTAAGATATCAATTATTTATTGATATTCTGCTTAAAATAATACCAATAAAGAACTCAAAATTGTTCTAAGGCGAATGTATTTATTTTATATGATTGTTTGTTGTTTAGGCAGTTCTAAAAGCATAATATTTATAAGCTGTCTTTATTCACATATTTATAAGACTGCTACTTTGGTGTGAAGGACTTAAACATTACAAAACTTCATAATAATATTTAGCACCAATTGACATTTATTTTATTCATGTACCGGTAATGCAAAATTTTCTTATATTTTTTTGTATGCTTCAATATGTATATCTCATTTCATTTTTAGCATGTAATGCATATTTGATTGGATCCTTTGTTTAATAATTTGCAGAATAGTATTATTATTTATTATTTATTTGTTATTTGATTGGACATTTATTTTATTATTTGATTGAATATTTATTTTTAGCATGTAATGAATATTTGATTGGACATTTATTTTATTATTTTTTTAGTATGTAGAAGCTATGCTTACTCTTGAAACTTACTTACATTTTATTATTCTTTTGTTTAAGATGAGTGATATAGATACTACATAAGTGGATACTCAATCAATCATTCAAGGTGAAGGAGACACATATGGAACAAAAAGTGAAGTTGTGAGCACAAAATCAAAAAGGAAATGACCTAACACATGGTCAGAGGTATATGATCATTTCACCAAATTTACTAGTGACAATGGTTATCTTAAAGCTAGATGCAATTATTGTGATAGAGAATTTTATGCTCACCCTAAAAAAAAAAAATAAAACCTTTGCATTATATTTGTACTAAATTTTCTTGAGCTAGTGGTGATCCTTCCCAAACGAAACTAGTTTTAAGCCATGAGGAAATGCGTCTTTAGGTACATAGAAGTTTAATCAAGATGCCATTAGCAGAGGTTTGGCTGAGATGATTATTTTAGATGAATTGCCCTTTAGATTTATGGAAGCTAAAAGATTTAGGCGTTGTATGTCTATTGCTTGTCCTAAATTTCGTATGTTTTCACAATGGACTATTGCTAGAGATTGCTATCAAATTTATGTAGATGAAAAAAATTCCCTAAAGTAATTCTTGAAATCATCTACTATGAAAGTATCTCTAACCATTGGCACATGGACCTCATTGTAAAAAGTCAATTATATGTGTCTTATTGCTCATTTTGTAGAAAATTATTGGAAACTTAACAAAAGGATTTTAAACTTTTGTCCTATTTTTAGTCATAAATGTGAGGTTATTGGTAGGACAATGGAGAAATATTTGAGTGATTAAAGAATTGATAAGGTTTTCACTATCATAGTTGATAATACTAGTTCTAATGATGTTGCAATCTCATATTTGAAGAAAAAATTTAATAATGCAAGAGCTAGTATTGTAGGAGGCAAATATCTTCATTTAAGATGTATTGCTCATATTGTTAACTTTATTATGAATGATGGGTGTAGACACCTAATTTGGTCTAGGCTCGAATCAATTGGGCTTGCTCCAAAGGGGCAAATTGGTCTAATTTTTTATTGGTTTATTTGTTATTTTATTATTTTGAATTATTTATCTTTTTATAATTATTATTTTAGGAGATAATGATTAAAATTATAAAAAATAAGAAAAAATTTTGCTATAAATTTGGAGGTGGTAGGTTGGAATTGGACTTAAAGATTGATAATCCTAAATCCTAGTTAAAGAAAGAATCAACATTGATCAGAAACTCTTTTGATACCTATAAATATAGGTTTGAATGCACAGAAGGGACATACACAAAATACAAAAATAGAAGCCAAAAAAAGTGTTTAGAAAAGCAGAGGCAATTCTAGAATTTTTAGGATTTTTTTTAATTTTTGGTTTTTTTCTTGAAAT